CGCACCGTACGTAGCCAACCGTGCTAATCGCCGTGACGCGTCATTTCCCAAGGCGCCCCTCTCTCTCCTACGCTCTCCTTATCTCTCCGTGTCCACGCGGCTCCCTGATCGACGCTGTTCCTCTTTTTCTTTTCCTTTCGCTCAGTGTCACGTGGACACAACAACTCGGACAATGACGAAGGATTGAGGAATGAAGGAAGGAACGAACGAACATTTCCAGGGACGTACAGAGAGAGAGAGAGACGCGCTCTGCTGTGTCAACAGCAAGAACCCTCCCTACTGCACAGGGGCAGACGAGCGAGCGATTCCCTGATTGGGGGGGTGGGTGGTGCAGACCACCACACCCGCCCGAATAATATTGGTCGTGAAAGCCTACTACGACGACTACCCCGTGTTACATTGATTCTCATCTCACTCTCATCTCTGTCTCTCTCTGGAGGGCATGCTTGCAGCTGCCTCTCGAGTGGAGCCCCCCTTCCGCCAGCATCGGGCACGAGCAAGCACTTGCAGGGCTGCGCCTCTACCCAAACGGACGATAGAGATAATACACGAAGTGGGGTTGCGATCGGGCAAAGGTCAGCTGTTTGTACACAGCCGGGAGGGTGGTCGTTGGGTCGCACAGGGCACACGGAACCGAAACGGAGGTGGCTCCGTCTTCCCTTCAGCAGCCCCCACGCACCGGCTGTCGCACCGCCAGCGTCGTTGGCGACTGACTGCACGGAGCGGTGGTCTTCATTGCAAGGCCCCAACGCCCACTGGTGGCCTTCAGTGCGGCCCCCGACAATACACAAATGTGTGTGTGTGTTGAACGTATTTCGCACCGTACGTAGCCAACCGTGCTGCTGGTTTCAAACGGCGTGGCGGCCCTCACACACTGATGATATCTTATCGGCGAAGGTGCGCCCTCCCCATCCCACCCCTCTGAAAACGAGTGAAGAACACTGCCGTAGAGGACCGCAGAGCTTGGGCAATTGTTGCTAGCGTCGGCTCCTCGCCACCGCGTGGCTGCTGCAGCCTTCCCGCTTGTCTGTGGTTCCTCCTCCTCCTCCTGGCACCTCTGAGTTGTCGTCCCCCCTATCTCTCTCTCTACGCGAGCGAGCGGTTACTGCGCACTTACAAGTGAACATTTTAATTTGTTTTATAATCCGACCAGGCGGCTCAGCGGTAGAGTGAACGATCGGAAGGTTGCGAGTTCGTAACCTGGTTGTGGGTTGGCACGGCTCATCATAACTCTGGGGTCGATAAAACGACTACCACTTTGTGGGGAGGTCAACATTGGATTTTGTCCTGTGAGTGGACTCGTCCCCGCAATAAGAATGTGGAATTTCCACCATTGGACGAGGACTGTATACAGGCTATGAGCTGCGTCTTAATGTTCCCATGAGCAGGAAATCACTTTGCCTTTTGACTGTGAAACTGGAAAAGTACCAAACCACGAAACTACCGCCACTCGCCTAGGGGACAGGTGCTGTTCGTGAGATCGTGAACACACGTAGAGACAAAGACGCCCCGTATAGCCTTAACAAACTGTGCGGACAAGTGTTATCGAGGCCGGCACGGCGCACGAAGCGAAGGGTGGGCATCACCGCGCCTGGCCGCCTTTTGTCCCGAGTGCTGATGTTTACACACCGCACTGGGTACTCATTTCAGGCTGAGTCGACCTAGGCGAGACCCAGGTCCGGTTCAGATAATCGCCACGAGCTGTTATTGGCCGTGAGCGGGAATCGAACTCAGTTCGCTGGATTCGAAGCACAAACAGACAGCCACACAGTGAGAGACACATCGTGACGCACACACAAAGATCCCCCTCATATCCGCAACAGACTGGAGGAGCAAGTGCTGTTAGCGAGCACCTATGAAGCTCACACAGGGGGGTGGTGGCCAACACTACGCCCGGCCGCCTTTGTCTCCCCGGTGGCGATGTTTACACACCACACCAGGTACTCATTTGAGGCTGAGTCGACCTAGGGGAGGCCCAGGACCGGTTCGGATAATCTTCACTGGTGTTGGTGGCCGTGAGCTGGAATCGAACTCGGGGCTTTAGGTTCGTAGTGCAGCGCGCTAAGCGCTCTGAGGACGCACATTCACGCGCACACACAGACACACACACAGACACACACAGAGACACACACACATACACACATAGACACACACACAGACACACAGACACACACACAGACACACACACAGACACACACACAGACACACACACAGACACACACACACACACAGACACACACACAGACACACAGACACACATACAGACACACACACAGACACACACAGACACACACACAGACACACACACACACAGACACACACACAGACACACACACAGACACACACAGACGCGTGATTCTCATTGAACTCTCATTTCCTACTGCGCTCGGCTCAAAGTCCGCAGCCCACGCGAGTCCACGGCCACTCGCCCCCTCCTCCTCCTGCTGCAGCTACCCCGCATAGCGTTACTCGGCACTCTCACCCCACACGGCCCATACCGCACATCAACCAGATAACCCCCCACCCCCACCACGTACTCCCCCGCGATGGTCTAATTAACTTTATATGGGCGGCTAAGCAGTCTACAACTACCCCTTGTAAAGTTTGAAAATGAGGTCAATCATTGACCGAGCAATGAGCCTAGTCTTGGCTGAAACGCGTGCGCGACGACTTCTATGTACGTGCGTTGAACTTATTTCGCGCCGTGCGTAGCCAACCGAGCTCATGGGAGGTGCGGGGGAAGGACAACAAACGAAACACAAAAACAATTCTAAAGAAACTAGTTTTCAAAGACGTGACTGGTACAGGTGTTCGTCGCTACCCGCCGCCTGTTTGTCTGCAGTAGATTTTTTGCGGTTCAAATCGTCCCCCCCCCCCCCGGCCGCCCCGGCAAATACCGCAGATTAATGCAATTACTATTTACCGTTAAATACGACGCGCCGTCTCTTTCGCGACAAACCACGGTTTTGTGCAGGCGTAGCGGACTGACAGACACTACTTTGCCAAATTTGAAACGTCACTCTCAAAGTACAGTACTGTACTTCATTTCAGAATCAGAATATGAATTTTTCCTGGAGGAATCCGATGAGCTATGAAGCTTTTTCCCCACAGGATATCTAATACAGTAGCGGCAATGTCCCGTATAGTTGGAGGACGAATTCCCACCCTGGCGATCCCCTCGGGCAGTGATTCTTAACCTTTACTGCAGCCTTGTATCCGTTTGATTCTCAATCCTAAAAAATATGTTAATACATATATTTTATTGAACAAACTAGTTGCACTTACGTGCCCGTACTTAATTTGTGTTTTCGATGATTCGCCTTCGAACAAAAATCTGGCCACGTCTCGCACCCCCACAAAGGGCATCTCGCACGCCCAGGGAGTGGCGCATGCACCCCAGGTGAAGATGAATAAGAAGCACTGCGTTAGGAGTTAGAGACCGTGCCCTGACACGTCTCGATATGCATTAGGGGCGAATGCGCGCGTGTTACGTAACCAGAACTCCACACGTAGAAAAGGTGCGTTTCATGCCATCGGCTAATTGGCTTCCCATGCCTAACAGGTCTTATAGGTTACCGCAGGGTTACCTTAGGAGTAGCAGAGGCCGGTGCGTGAACATCGCTCGTTGTAGTGTACATTGTCTTCCGTGTATGCTCGCCGCCTTCACCAAGCCACACTGAGCCATTGGGTGGTGAAGTATGGTCAAACAGCCCCCCCCTCCCCCCCGGCACCACCTGGGGGCCCTTATCCAGCAGTGGAATAATGCGAACGTGCTGTGCGCGTTCGCATGCAAAGACAAAGACCTCCCGAAAGGTTTAACAGACTGTTAGGGCAAGTGCTGTTAGCGAGTAGCAGCTATGAGGGCCGGCACGGCACACGAGGGGGTGGGCGGCCAGCACCACGCCCGGCCGCCTTTGTCTCCCCAGTGCTAGCGATGTTTGACGCATTGCTGGTGTTGGCCTTGAGCGGGAATCAAACTCGGGTCGCCGGGTTCGTAGCGCATCGCGCTAATCGCTTCACACACTGACACCCTCCACGACCACACCGATCATTAACGCTGCCCTTACGATGGGCGCATACCACAATAGGCCGACGTTTCGGGTAATGGCATTTTCTTCGGGGCAGAATATAAGGGGGCAAACTAGAACGGTTTTGCGTGTGTGCCGACTCAGCCGGTCATCTCGTCGAGGTCGCTACATTCACGACTGCCGCCTTCGGCGCTCCTGAGCAGAAAGACAAACAACTGTGACCCTTCTTCACTCGCGAGAGACGTCAACAGCCGCGTGACGACAGCTCTCGCTCAACTGCGCATCGTCTCCTGTTTACTGCCCCTGAGTCAGCGGTGGAAATTCCACATTCCTATGGCGGGGTGGGGGACGGTTCAAGTCTACCTGTAAGAGAACAACTAATGTTTAAACACGAGGAGGATGTAGTAACTCGTAATGTCAGCCGTCAGTTTGTTCTATGACGTCTCGCCCTTCCTCTCTTACTCGTTCTGTACCTTTGGCTCTTCAACAACAATACAACATCCTTGACAACAACCACAAAAGAGAACCACCAATGTTGACTTCCCACACCCACACAGTGGTACTCATTTGTTTTTATCAACCGCGGAGGGATGGTTGATGGGCTGAGTCAACCCTCACCCAGGAGTCGAACTCGCGGCTTTCCTGTCCCAGCCCGGACCCGCTCGCCACGTGGGGGGCGCGAACGCGCGCACGTGGGGGGGGGGGGGTAACCGGCCGACCGGCCGGCTGGGTAGGTGGGTGACCGGCTGGGTGGGTGGCCGACCGGCCGGCTGGGTGGGTGGGTGACCGGCTGGGTGGGTGGGTGGGTGACCGGCCGGCCGGCTGGGTGGGTGACCGGCTGGGTGGGTGGGTGACCGGCTGGGTGGGTGGGTGACCGGCCGGCCGGCTGGGTGGGTGACCGGCTGGGTGGGTGGGTGACCGGCTGGGTGGGTGGGTGACATCCGAGACGCGCAGCACGCGAAGCTCCCTTACCCCGCTGTAGGTCGATCCGTGGCGCTTCAGCAGCAGCAGCTGCTGCCCATTGTCAGACCCCTTAGGGGCTCCCCAGGGGCACGCGGACGCGACCCACGCGCGCGCGCGCTCTGCGTCTGAGTCGAGGAAGCGACGCGCGCCGCCTTGAGTGGGTGGGGGGGAGGGAGAGAGGGCGGGGGGCGGGAGGCGCTTTTTACCTGGAGCAGCGGACCCAGGGGGAGGGGCCCGGGGGAGGGGGGGGGGTCGCCTAGGGGGAGGGGGCGGGGGAAGGAACTCGTGATGGTGATGCTACTGATGTTGGTGGTGATTTGTAAGTGCTGTTGGTGGTGCTGGTGATAGTGCACCTGGCCTGGCACAGGCGCCGTGGTGACGTCACCGCCACTTAGTGGTGAATGACGGCTGCTGTTGTTGTTGGTGCTGCTGCACTATCAACCCGGCGATCAGAGTTCGATTCATGCTCTCGACCCACATCGGTAACGAATATCTGCACCTGGGCCTCCCTTAGGTCAACTCAGTCTCAAATGAGTACCTGGTGCGGTGTTTAAACGTCGTCGGTAGGGAGACAAAGGCGGTCGGGCGGTGGTGCTGGCCACCCACCCCCTCGTGTGTAGTACCGGTCTTCATCGGTGCTCGTTTTAATAACACTTGCCCCAAAAGTCGGTTAAGGCTATATGGGACATCTTTATCTTTTACTGATGGTGCTGGTGATGATAATAATGGTGGTGACAATAACGATGGTGGTCGACGTGAAAATAATGAAGATATGGTGTTGGATATGATGTGGTGGTGTTGGTGATAATAGCGATGGTGGTGGTGATGATGGTAGTGGTGATAAAACCACTGCCGCTGATGGTGGTGATTGGGGTAGTCGTGATGATGGTGGTGGCGGTGATGATGGTGAGTTGTAGTGATTATAGGGGTGAAGGGGTGGACGTCTAATGGGAATACACCGTTACAGGGGCAAACCGTATCGGCAAAATTCGTTTAAGGCTAAGTCAACCTAGAGGGTTGACCAAAACCGGTTCAGATACTCGCTACCGGTTAGCCGTGAGCGGGAATCGAACTCTGGGTGCCGGGTTCGCAGCGCAGCGCGCTCACCGCCATCACCATACAAAGCCAAATACAAAGATCCCCCGTATAGTCAAACGTGCTTTTGGGGCAAGTGCTGTTCGTGAGTAGCACCAATGAAGGCCGGCACGGCACCCGAGGGGGGTGGGTGACCAACACCACGCCCGGTCAGAATCGCCGCTGCCTCCCTCGTGGCGATGTTTGCACTCCGCCCCAGGTACTCATTCGATGCTGAGTCGACCTAGGGAAGGTTCAACATCGGCTCAGACAATCGTCACTGGTTCATAGCGAAGCGCGCTAACTACAGCGCCACCGCTCCCCACACACACACAGCGACCACACGCGTCCCAGCACACCCCCACCCCCGCCCCCCTGCCCCCCCCCAACTCGTAGCCCCCCAGGGCCCTCACTCAACCGGCTGCGCCGCAAAAGCCGCGCTCAGCAGTCACGACCATCGCGGCAATTACTAGAGCCGTGGCAGCATTCCTGTGTCTCTCATAGCACGCACACAGCACACACACAGCACGCATAGCAAGCACACAGCACGCACAGCACACACACAGCACGCATAGCATGCACACAGCACACACACACAGCACACAGCACACACACAGCACGCATAGCATGCATACAGCACAAACACAGCACGCACACAGCACGCATAGCATGCACACAGCACGCACAGCACACACACAGCACGCACACACGCATAGCACGCACACAGCACGCACACGGCACGCATAGCACGCACACAGCACGCACACAGCACGCACACACAGCACACAGCACGCACACAGCACGCATAGCACGCACACAGCACGCACACAGCACACACACAGCACACAACACACAACACAGCACACAGCACGCACACAGCACACACAGCACGCACACAGCACGCACACAGCACACACACAGCACGCACACAGCACACAGCACGCAGCACACAGCACACACAGCACGCACACAGCACACAGCACGCAGCACACAGCACGCACACAGCACGCAGCACACAGCACGCAGCACACACAGCACGCACACAGGACGCACACAGCACGCACAGCACGCACACAGCACACAGCACGCAGCACACACAGCACGCACACAGCACGCACACAGCACGCAGCACACAGCACACACACACAGCACGCACAGCACGCACACAGCACACAGCACGCACACAGCACGCACACAGCACACACACAGCACACACACACAGCACGCACAGCACGCACACAGCACGCACACAGCACGCACACAGCACACACAGCCCGCACACAGCACACACACAGCACACACATCACGCACACAGCACGCACACAGCACGCACAGCACGCACACAGCACACACAGCACGCACACAGCACACACAGCACGCATAGCACACACAGCACGCACACAGCACGCACATAGCACAGCACGCATACGGCGCAGCGCGGCAGCGCACACGACGGGGTGGGTGGCCAGAACCACGCCCGGCCGCCTTTGTCTCCCCAGTGACGATGTTAACACACCACACCAGGTACTCATTTGAGGATGCATCGACCTAGGGGAGGCCCAGGACCAGTGCAGATAAATTATATAATCGTCACTGGTGTTGGTCGCTGAGTTCATCCCGCAGCGCACGAACCGTATAGCCGTAACAGACTGATGGAGCAAGTGATGTTAGCGAGCACCAATGAAGGCCAATACGCCACGCCCAGCCACCTTTATCTCCCTGGTGGCGATGATTACACACCGAACCAGGTACTCATTTGAGGCTGAGTCAACCTTGTGAGCGCGAATCGAACTCGGATTGCCGGGTTCTCAGCGCAGCGCGCTAATTGCTGCACTACCGCTCCCCCACCCACTCACTCACTCACTCACCCACTCGCCCACTCACTCATCCACACACTCACTTACTCACCCTCACACTCACTCACCCACACACTCACCCACCCACCCACCCACTCACTCACCCACACACTCACCCACACACTCACTTCCTCACCCACATACTCACTCACCCACTCACTCACCCACTCACTCATCCACACACTCACTTCCTCACCTACATACTCACCCACCCACTCACTCACCCACACACTCATTCTCTCACCCACCTACTCATCCTCCCACTCACAATCAATACTGATCTTGCTGCGTATTCCCTCACACTGGTCGACTTTGCAATTTCCTCCCGACGTCTCCACCCTCCCCAGCTCTGACAATAATATCCCCAGCTCAATTCAGTTATACTCTCAATCTACTTACGGCTGCTTTGATGATGGCGCTGCTTGTTGCTGGCCGCTTGGCGTTTCGGGAGGTTGATACCCCGTGCTCAGCAACTCGTATTACAAATAAATACATACATACATTTGCGCCCGCACCGACTTCTGGGAGCGCAACGTTTCAGCAGCATTGGTTAAACACAAGCAAAACCCTGGGCTGGTTTCGACATTCAACGTCTCATCGGCAGAGTCAGGCTCGCTTTGAACCAATGCTGGTGAATTGCCAGATGTTTAAAGGCAAGGGCCCTCTTATCGGTTCGAGATATGGATCGTAGCTTGACACAGCACTATATAACACACCACGCAGAATAACCATTAGCGTCGTTGTAAACAGTAGTCGATTGTCCTGGAGCATGCGAGCGTGTGCGTGTGTGCTTCTGTGTGGCTGTGCGTGTGTGTCGTTGTCTTCATGTACGGTCGGGAGCGGTGGCGCTACGAACCCGGCGACCCGACTCATCTGAATCAGTTCATGGGCTCCCCCTACGTGGACTCAGCCTCGAATGAGTACCTGGTGCGGGGTGAAAACACCCAGCACCGGGGAGACAAAGGCGGCCGGGCGTGGTGTTGGCACACTCACCCCCTTGTCTGCCCTGCCGGCCTTGAAAACGTGCTCGCTAACAGCACTTGCCCCAAAAGTTTTGAAAAGGCTACATGGGGTATCTGTTTCTTTGTGTTTGTGTTTGCTGTCTGCATACGCAGTGTGTCTGTGTGCAAGTCATAACTTGCCCTGTGTCTCCTGTAAGTTTGGAAACGTAATGTAAAGTGCACAGCCCCCCTTGTCAATCCACTGCTAGATGGAAGGTTGGTCATGGGGGGCTGTTTGACCATGCTTCACCACGCGGGCCAGTGTGGGCGTGTGGGGGGGAGACCCAGGACCGGTTTAGATGTCACTCGACATTCATGTTGTTAGCGCTAACCACTGCAGCCACCGCTCCACCCCAGTGCAATGGGGACATGTAAAAGAATGAGCTTTGACTTTTTAAAATAAAATAATCATTTATTAACACTGTACTTCCTCATGTTTTATTATATTAATAAAAAATACACTCGTTTCTTCAGTCAACCACGGCACTTGAGCAACCGCACTCCTCGTCCAGTCACGTGCGAAACGGAACGCGTCCGCTAAGGGACGTCCACCGGAGGAGACGGAGCGGTGAAATCAATTCGAGTGTCCGTGTGGATCCTCACGTTATTGCAGGATCGTCAGATGTTGTGGAGGTCTTTATCCAGCAGTGGATAAATGTCAACGACCTCGCCTGGTATACAAGAAGTCGTGGGTTTGAACCCAACCCTGACGTCTGTATATTTGGAATTTGCATGTTCACCCCGTGGTAGTTGCGTGGATTTTTCTTCAGGTCCTCCGGGTTTTCCCTCCACATTTAGAATCAACATCACCACGCGTTTCGAGTATGTGTCTGCTGCTATAAATGTCCACACCATGATAAGCCACTTCGTTGAGGTATCATTTGTGATGGCCAGACCACTTCTGAAAAAATGGCTCTATAGCTCAGTGGCGTCTACCTGGGAAAATAAAAGGTAAAATAAAAGATAGTAGTTTTTTTTTATTGACCTTGGTCTATGATGATGGTCACATTGATGATGGCCAGGGACCAATGGGAACGCACCATGAGCAATGTTTGACCTTTGACATTTATGTCAAAAACACCCGTGACCCCAAACCTTACCATGTTTACGTCCTCATGGGGCATTACAAATTCCTGGACTCTCTGCTCTTGCCTAGAACGTGTTTTGAGTTTGACAATGGGGTGTTTTAAAATTCATTTAGAAA